CTATCATTAGCAGAAGGAATGAAGCTCTCCTTTTGAAATCAAAAGCCTTACCCATGGAGAAATTGTTCTGATGTTCAGTGTAAGAAAATGAACATAAGCAAGAAATGCTTTGTGAAGGCAGCTGGCATGGCTTGGAAAAATGTAGTACGAGGATTAATGGGATCGGTAAGGTGACCACCTCATTGCTGGGAAGCTTTCAGGGAGGGAGGGAGACGGGCAGGATTGAAGCCTTCACCGAGAGCTCCACTTGCAGGGAGACTCRGACATGGGGAGCGAGGAGCGGCTCCCTGCTCGGGTGAGCGGTGCCCAGTTCGGGTGCTGGTGTGCGGCTGTGCGTGCCCTTCCAACAGGSAACGAGTGGCACGGCTTGGCTGGAAACACTGAGCCGGAAAGACAACGTAATCGACTGAAGCTCATCGTGTTGTGCCCTATATTCACTGTTGCTTGGGGGGGCTTCATTAAATTTACATTGTGATTTTGTTGTGTGAGTGGTGTAAAAGATATCCTGCGCTGTGAGCAGCACAAGAGCACTAACAGAGCAATGGGAGAGTGAGCTGGAATCTGCCCCAGCACATTCATTCTCTGGGATGTGGTTAGATGTGTTTTAGGGTCTTCAGTACCAAAGTGAAGAGAAATGCAGAAAGAATATACCTGCATTTCAAATCACCCCCGATTTGCAAAATATCCATGGAAAGAAAAGATGCTTTTCTTGTAGATTGATCACAATTGATAGTGTCATGAAGCAGTAATAAATGTAGCGTGCACAGCACCACTGCGTTGTTTGGTTCTCAGCATATAGCATACTTCCAAGTGTATAGGTGCTGCTAGAATATAGTTATATTTTCAACATCACCTTGCTCCAATATGTCAAATTAAAGTAATAGGCTTTGTGGCATGAGAAGTGARGCAGCATGGTGAAGGGTGAAGAGATGGCAGTGAAGTGAGGAGGCAAGAAGAAGCAACTGCTTTTGAATTGTTCAAATACAATATCCAACCTGTAGTTGCATGGAAATATCCTTGGTGTTAGTGGATGGTGTCCATAGTCACCAAAGAAGGATCATGCAGGGCCCCAGAGCTGCTCAGCATCCTGATTCCTGTTGCCTTCCTTTCTGCTCTATTGGAGATCAGATTTTGCAGTTAATGCCAGTGCCAGCAGTTGCTGTCAGTAAATATCATCTTTCATGAACCCACTCTCTGTGACTTGGACACATTTGCCTGAAACTTGTCTGACTGAACCAGCTCACGTGGATGAAGGTCTCCTGGGGAGAGGACTTCTTACCAGGGATCAAGAATGTAGTTTTAAGAAGAACAGGCATCCTTTGCTGTCACTGTGAGCATTGGTTGGGCTGTGCTTTAGAGGTCATGATGATGTTTGCATTACAAAACTAGATATTACGCTCTTTTTTACCTAACTCATGCAGTTCTCTGCTTTCTGTGTCCTTTTACCCTTCCGCTTAAGTACATATTATTCAATTATGTAGCTGAAGTCTTTTCTGTATTTAGCCCATCCATACCAGAAAGAGGTRTATTGGCTGGACCAGCTTATACAAAAGCCAGGGGAAAGGAAGGAGGAGAAAGATTAACAAGGCTGTAAATAGTTTAAAGCAAACTAAGCATTTCGGTAGTGGCCATGAGAGAGGAAGCAGAGGTATAAGCAGCTTCATTCCGGCCTGCTGGTGGCAGCCCACCTTCCCCTTGGCTACGGCAAGGTCTAGGATAGAGGAAGAAATGGGAGGAATGCCTCTGAACTGCCAGCGGTGTCTGTCTTTATCCTTCCTTGGTCCTCTTAACTGCCCTGTTGTTCCGTAGAAATTCATAAAACCCCTTTCCAGAGTTASTAATGCCTGAGTGTGTCATTAAAAGATGACTGAAGCCCAGTCATAGATCCTTRTCTTGTTCTAAATTAAAGCCTGAGAGCCTCTAAAATTGCTGTGCAGTGTGTTTAAGTCAGCTTATAGATAGTCCAGGAGAATACGAGCCCCTCTACGCTATGCTTGCAATGATCTAAGCTATTCTTTATGGTTATTTAGTGGTTTATATCTCTTTTTTTCCTTTTTTTTTTTTTTTTTTTTTTTTTTTTTTTTTTTTTTTTTTTTTCCTCCTGTAAGTTAATAGCACAGAGTGAAAAGGATTTGTGTGAGGGGGCTGGTGACAGGACGTTTAGTGAAGCATGGATGTTTCAGTGTTAGTCAAATGCTACCTGCTGGGCTGATTAGCAGCAACTGAGCATAGTTCTGCAGTCAGTGTTAAAAAGGAAATTGGACTCGAAAAATGAATGTCCTGTACTGTCTGAAACGTGCGAATCTATAAATGTCCTGAGTGTTGTTATTTACTTTCCCTTTGTCTTATGGGCTAGAATGGCTAAGGATCATGTTTATGCTTTTGTTGCRCATTGGCACATCCATTTTCTTGAGAATTTGGAAGAGTGAAAGAAGCAACAATTGCAGGGAAGGAGGGGTTTAGTTGTTGTTGTTGTTTTGAGAGGGGCTCAGCACAGAAGTGGCAGCTTGAGGACGCAACGGCTTTTTGTAGCACCAAGCTCTTGGTGTGTGTTAAATGAGAACAGAGTGTGTAGCGAGGCCAGCGGCTGTGTCGGGCTGCGTCGGTGCTGCAGCCTGTGCCCGCGTGTCGCTGCTGCCAGGGCTCTGCTCCGCGCTCGCCCTTCCCGTACTGCGGCTGGTTGCGTTTGCACACATGTGCTTGCACTTTGCACTTTCCAACAGCCACCTGAACACAGAGTAGTGGTTACGTTTCCTTACCAGATATTGTTATTAGCCTTCTGCTAACACCGCTGCTAGCAGTCCTGCTAACTCATGAATGCCTTTTCAGCAGGCTTACTTTATGCGACAGTGGTTCTCTTTTCTTTCATTTCTGTGCACCCTTCTGCAAAAACACTGAAATAGTCTGGAACAAGAAATAGCATTTCTGGGTTACTTCTGTCATGCATTACGGTATTATTTGCTTAAAATTTTCTTCAACTTGCCATACTCTGCAGTAGCACAAAAAGATGCAGCCAGTGAACTCCCCTGGTTCAGAGAGGTCCTGTACTGTGTGGTGAGAGGTACGTGTGTGCTAGTAACAGAGCAGATCTTGCCTGACATACTGGCAGGTTGACAAGAAAGAGAAGCTGCATTCAGAAAACTGTTGCAGCATTTTAAATACACGCTAGCTGGAGCTCCACAATTCCTTCATTCTTAAAATTTAAATTAAAACCAGAACAAGTTCACGTAAGGTAAAAAATGCATCCTGTAGTTGCTCAGCTTTTGGAGGAGTGAATTGGCTAGCCTTAGGCTTAGGCCTAATGGGATGGGTTTAAGCTGTACTCCCCTTGCTTACAAGAAAAGCATCATACAGTGGATTGCTGATCCCTTGCAAAACCCCCTTGATTTCTCTGTGGCTACAAGTGAATACAGCAAACTGTTCTCACAGCCTCCGTTAGGGTGAGAGGGTATTTTTGCCAGTAGTTGACTTGTAATGAAGAAGAGCAGTGTTGCTAGAGGTTTTTTTTTCATTTTATTTTTTTAGTAATATTATTTCAGAGAACTGATACAACTTCGTTGAATCACAGTCACCACCAGTCAAACAAAAGCAACTTCTTTTCTACACTGGAATTGGTATARTGAAAATATGTCACGGCTTACCCGGGGGCAGATGCTTTCTTCCTTTTGCTGTTTTGGTGATTTCTGTCCTTCTTACGGATAGATTTTCCTAACATTACGTACTTTATTGATCATATGTTAGAACTGTGCAATCTGTAATCTACACAGAAAATCTGCTCTCTGCCATAGAAGAACTGATAGRGTTTTTTATTTGGATGTTTGCTGTTAATCTAACATACTATTTTGATCCAGTCTGGCCTCTCTACTGCTTTCCTTGTGGTCATGAGAAAGAAGGTGTGRTTCTTGACCAAATGAAAGAGAGCTTAATTGTCCTGCGTAGTCAGCAGAATCATAAAGTTCTAGCCCTGGCAATAAAAGCAGAAGCTGATGTTATTAATATATCATTTCAGGTACACAGAGYGCCATTAAGTGACTCATGGGTTGAGTAAAACCTCCTGTAATCACAGTAGTAGTAGACTTAAAGCTCTATAAAGCTGGAAACTTCACCAGGTGGCAAATGTCAAYGCAGCTTTGAAGAACTATAGAGCTGCAGTGTGTTGAGGCTCTAGACAGGACTTACCCAGAGGTAGCTTTTTAAGCTGCAGTTACAGAGCACAATTGATGCAGTTACAATAATAATAATAATACATTATAGTCGGTGGCCTTTCATCAGAGGACCTCAAAGCTCTTGGGGGAAAAAAAAAAAAGACTTTTAAATATCCCCTTCCTGCTGATAGGAAATACACGGTGTTCAGATGCTTGAGAAGAGGGGCAGCATCAGTGAGTCAGCAGGACGGGACTCAAGTCGGGAGCCTCCTGGCATTCCTGTCCCTGGCACGGACTCAACCTGGAGTCTCTGACCTTGGAAGCAGCTCATGTCGTTGGGCTGCAGCAGATCCAGCCTGCGAGTGGGATTGCTCCTGCCTGAAACACTGCCCAGAGTGARCGAGAATGGGGTAGAATGGGCCTAATTGGAAATTGGCTTTATTTCTTCCTTTTGTAAATTGGAAATAATGCTAGAARGGTGTTGAAATCTAGGGATGAAAAACACTAAAGAGCAGATATACCACAGYTCATTTCTTGCCCTTAGCTAAGAAGCTTGAATGTCCTATCTAGTCCAGACAGATAGAGAGGTACCTGCAGAGCCTGGCTGGGATTTTAGGCAAAAGGGTCATGTTTTTGGTTAAAGTGCCATGCAGTGACTRGAAGTTTACAGAGCGTTAATATTCACCTCAAGAACCATATAATGGTCTTTATTAGGAGTGCAAGTGAATGTCTGTATATGAGATTGGCTCCTATGAAGTTGGTAGTTTTCTTTTTTCACAAAGTGATTGATTTTCAGGGCCTAAATATCACGCCTGAAGGTTCTCCATTGGGGACTGTTTTTGTTCTGTCTTTTAGATTGATGTAATTGTGGCTTTGGGTGGCCTTGGAGGACGCTTCGACCAGATAATGGCATCAGTGGAAACGCTCTTTCACGCAACAAGAATCACTCCTTTTCCAGTGATCGTTATTCAAGAGTGCTCCCTGATTTACCTGCTTCAGCCTGTAAGTGATGTGAGAAGTTTCTTTGTAATAAAACTGACCTTAAGTCCAGAGCCTGTTGTTCTAGCACCATAAAATGTTCATTTTCTTAATTGTGTTCTGTAGGGTCAAAGCCTAAATATAGAATATATTGCAGAGAAACAGACAGCACGTGATATACTCTGCAGTCCTGCCTTTGAAAAGATCAATTTAATTTGTTCAGAGTAGATTTGTTTCAAAGGAAGGAATTAAGAAGATATGAAAGCTGAAAAGGACAAAATCTGGGATTTCAATTACAAATGAAGAAAGTGTTTAAGCTTTTAAATTGGATAGCAMTAAGTTTAAATTTAGCACAGAGCCCCTTTATATGTGGACACATATGGATGCGTGCAGTCAGAAAAAGAAAACTGTAGGAGAAAGATATGAGGGAAGCCTTGACAAACCTGTCAGGCAGAATTCTTATGTTGGTGAGTGGTGCTGTTCATTATGATGGGAACCCAGCTAGGATCAGCGAGGGGATTCTTTGTAGATATGTTGATTTTGTGGTTTTTCGGGTCTACAGCTCCATTTATTGATTCATAAAATAACACAAGCACAAGATCTTGCAGAGCTTCTGCTTTTAAGATTTAAATTAAAAGCAAATCTAAGCATCAGAGAGTCTTCTCAAACAGTCATACATTTTTTTGTTTGGAAATACCTTTCCCTGATGTCAAGATTTCGAGAYGCTTACCCAGCTTTTCCATTTTATCTTAGCTTCTTTCATTAAAATAAATAACCTTCACTGATAAAATTGACAAACCCTCCGCCACACATGCTCCACAGTAATTTGAGAAAGGCATTAATAAGTTTCTATGAGATTATGGATTGAAACCCACAGGGGCAGATGCTGCATTAACAACTTGGATGCCCTGTGTGTGCAGGAAAGACGGTAGGTGCGGGAGCTCACTGGCCAGTGTGAGAAGGAATGACTGGGAATGTTAGTTACACAGCTAAACATGTAGACAGAGCGGAGAGAGGGAAACCAGGGCTAAAGGAAAACTGTGGTTACAACCTGGACGTGAGGAGTAACTCCCTGGTAGGTAACCTGGGTGGGTAGTACCACTGATCACTCTAATTCTGGGAGACCTTTAAGAACACACGTAACAGTTGAAATAAGATGGAAAAAAAAAACAGTTTCTCTTATAAAATATTCACCTTGACTGGTAGGGCTTTTTATTCTGTTAATTACCCTTTTCCATAAGTGACTTTCAAAATGCCATTCTCAGGGTTGCCTTGGGAAGGTCCTCAATGACCAATTAACCCCTCTGCGTCTTGGGAAAAAATGTCATAGCCTGTGTATTCAAATGGTGTTGGAATTGCTAGTTGTGTGTTTGAGTTTATTGGAGACTTCCTAATGTTCTTCATTGTGCTTTACAAAAAATATTTGATACCTTTTTATTGGTGGGGACAGCTGCCCAGGGTACTATTTCTTTTCCACAGTTTCTGGCTGTCAAGTTGCATTGCCAGTAACTGACTTGTATAACTTGAGGCTTTTTTTTCCTGGTATTCAGAAATAAAGGGCAGATACTGGGGGGCAGGCATTTTACAACAATCTTCAAGCTAACTTTGACACAAAATTGCATTTCATTGTGGATTTAAACTTGTCACCGTCAGCATCTTCAGTCAGCTGTCATGGTCCTTCCAGATAATAATGTTAATCCTTCATAGCTAAGATCAAATGAGTAGTTTCTACATGGGAACAAACAAGGAACCTAAGCTTGGAAGTACTATTTTTTTTTTTCCTCCCATGGAGGTCAGCATGATATTTTCCCTTGTAAACGCTCCCAATGGTGACATTCTCTCTCTTTCCTCCTCTCCCCTTTGTAATTTAAAATCAAGGTAGGAGGGAGGGAAACACAGTGGGAGACAACTGACTTTTTGAAATGCAAGTCTGGAAACTGTGTAACAAATGAAGCAGGGTTTTGAGATTCAAATGCTAATGCAAACGATAAAGTTAAAAGCATCTTGCTTCTCCTATAAAATATAGATCTAAAATGTTTCCCTCTTGGGGAAGAAGAATATGGGTTTTGGGGGATTCTTTGGATAAAATATATGAGCAAAATGTAAGCGTATTTTCATTTCAAAGCAAAATTACACCTCTGTTTACTATAGCAGAGACCGTTCTGTATCAGGTGTACCTAGGCAGAGACTAAGATACTTGGATGGAGCAACGAACCTGGTAATCCCATAGCAGACCTTCTAAGGCTACAAGGGAGAAGAG